AGCCTTTCTTGCAGCCTCCTCTCTTTGCCTCTCCTCTGCTGCCTTCTGTGACATCTCTTCCTCTTGTGCCTTTCTCGCATCCTCATCTCTTTGTGTCTCCTCTGCTGCCTTCTTCAGTGCCTCCTCTTCCGCTGCCTTTCTAGCATCCTCCTCTCTTTGCTTCTCCTCTTGTGCCTTCTTCAGCGCCTCCTCTTCCTCAGCCTTTGTTGCAGCCTCATCTCTTTGCTTCTTCTCTGCTTCCTTCTTTGCTGCCTCCTCTTCTTTTTTCCTTTTTAGTATCCTTGTCCTTATTGTCTCTTCGATTTGCTTCCTCACTTGTCCCTGTACCGACCATGTTCTTGGCTTGTTCAAGCATGCCCATCGCCAAGGTCATCATTTCTTGAGCCTTTCTCTCCCGGTCGGCGATCTCTGCTTGTTTGTTGGCTGTCTCAAGGCTGGCATGAATTGATGACGGTGAGAGCTCCAAGATTTCACCTGTGTTCATGCGCTGCAGCTGATGCGCGATGGCACTCACATCAGAGCCACTCCGGAGAGTAGTTGGTGTCGATGGAACAGCACAGTCACGAGCACTTGGGTCACTCCTGGGTGACCAAAGTTGCTCCTGGACACGTCGGTTGTAGTCATCCCAGTCGAATGTCTTGAAGCGGTAAAACTCACTTTGAGGATCTGCAAAGGCATTGTGGTGTGGTTCTGGCCGCCAGTCTGCTGGTGGCCAATCCCACTCCTTCCATTTCTCCTCATTCTCACTGTCATTTCGCCACTGCGACCACCCGCCTTCATAGTAGTATTTACCAGACTCAGCATCAGAGAGTTGACTCTCATGGCTTGATGTCGGCTCGGATTCATCACCGTGAACTGGTGTGGTTGTGGATGCCTTGTGACCTGTCTTCCTTTTCTTGATTGTCCTTACAACCTTGATCACCTTCTGTGCACCAGGTCTTGGTCGATCATTCACATCATTTTCCTCCTCACCCAGGACCATGGTCGGCTGCGAGAGCAACACTGCACGGTCTCGTCTTTCTCGTGCCTGTTTAATGAGGTCTTGGAACCCACACTCAGCCGCAGCCATCACATTGAAGTACTGCCAAGACAGGAGTGTTGTGTGCCAAAATGGCTTGATTGAGCAATGCATTGATTAAGTTTCTCTGACACGGGAGGCAGAACTGCGTAGCAATATAGTGTATATCAAATACAGAAGAGGTGCAAAATGCAACAATTTATTCCCCAATGCTGACATTTGCCTGCAGAATATGCTAAGTTGATCTGCCAGGATACCCCCCCTCAAAATCAATGTCTGGTTTTCACGCGCCTTTCACGGTCAAACATGGCCTTTCACGGTCAAACATGGTCCTTCACGCGCATTTCACGCGATGTGTTTTAACATGTGTGGTTAGGTTTTCACGCACCTTTCACGGTTAAACATGGCCTTTCACGGTCAAACATGGTCCTTCACGCGCACTTCACGCGCATTTCACGCGATGTGTTTTAACATGTGTGGTTAGGTTTTCACGTGTATTTCACCTTTAAACATGGTCGTTCACAGTTAAACATGGCCGTTCACAGGGATTTCACAGGGGTTTCACGCAAGTGTACTCTCTGCAAATTGTCACGTGTGTTGAGTTTAGTACACGCCTCTCTCACAAACATGGCTGTTGCGGATATATAAAGCACACACAATAGCATTCCTAGCATGCATACATGGCCGGGGTACCCTGGCAATTTGCACAAATTGCGAAGCCCATTAATGCATTGGCAGGCCAACGGTCTTCGATGGTCTTCGAAAATGGAACTGCAAAGGCTCGGAAAACTCCGTGGGAGGGCAGGGAATGAAGCGGATGCATTGTGCGCTATATGGTTGCCCCCGAGCTTCGTTTCATTGGGACAGTGCAAAGCTGCAAAAAACAAAATTTTTAGGACTGCCCTCCCTTGGCTTTGGTGTGCACCTTTCGCACAAACTTTTTGAGAGCCGGAATGTCAGCCTTGATCCAGGCACCGCGTCGTTTCACCTAGGCCCGAGCAGCGGTTGTTACACCGCTTAGCTTAGCTAGTTTTGCACATTTGGGTCACGACGGGCTTGTTTTGGGACCTGCTGATCCTGTACCAACCCTGCTTGATCATGGCATTGAGCTTCATTCCCTTTTTCTCCTTGCAGGTTTCAACCCCCAAAAACTTGGATGATGTTCCATGATCATGTTGCATGTACACAGCATATGTTTCAAAACCCTGCGAAGTCCATCATGTCTTTGTGTAGTGAAGCGATCTTTTTGCCAAAGCCCACTGGATAGACCTGTGTGCTCTTCAAGCCTTTTCCGCCAGTCCTGCCACAACGCAGCGATCGAGACGGCTGAGCAAGACGAGTCCCAACCCTAATCTGGATCTTGTGCTTTTTAAGTCTCTGACACTTGCACAGTTCCATCTGGCTTAACCTTCTTGGTAGTAACCTTCAATCTTTTCGTGTTGTCTGCGAGGATCTTTCTCTGTTTCTTTGACAGCTTCGTGTAGAGCTTCTTCATGTACGGCCTAAGTGGGGATAAGAGGCTAGTCCAGACAAATTTCCACTATACTAATTCAGCTTTGTCGGTTTCGCTTTGGTACCACCCAACATGTGTACTAGGGATCCCAAGTGGAGCCTCCAAGTGCATCCCACCGCCCCGAAAGCGGAGCCCCAACTCAAACGAGGCCCAATCTTGGACCCCTAGATTGATCCACTAGAATTGATATAATATAATATAATTAGCATGTTCACACGACTGAGAATCAAGCACAGTCCCCCAAAGCCGCGTTGGCTTCAGGGTTGGTGCACCCCATGAGGCCATACAACTGGGCAAGCGAATGCAAGCGAAGAAGGCGAGGGTGGCACAGGGATGCAGATTTGGAGTGACACCTGTACTCTACAGGGCCCCGGCAAGTATTGCTCTCTCCATAGTCCGGGTCCGAGAAGGAGTTCGATGCGGTTTGCAACAGCCTTGAAATCTGGAAAGTGTTTCATCACACTACTCGCTGGTTGCTCTAGGGATATGTAGCACCCCCTCACCGTGGCGAGGAGGATAAGAAGGCATGTCCTGGAACAGATCCTCAGTGGACAATGGAAAAGGTGGTTTAAATTTTTGTTTCAAACAGTATTTCATACTTGCTCCATGTTTCAAAATGATTCAAACAAGAGTCATGTTGGCCAGCTCCACATAAGGGCGACCCTCATTTCCATAAGGGGTTCCGGCCTCCGCCCACTCGTGTGGGCATTCACCCACACAAAGCTGCTGCAGGGTGGCCCCAGGCTTAGTAGGCCGTCCGGTTTCAACCGGAGCACACCCAAGATAGCCTGCGTGAATCCGGACCTGGGAACTCCACAGACCGATCTATACCCATGCTCATGATCATGTAAACTGGGCCCCAAGCGTTGTGCAGATGTTGTTCAACTCTGGACGTGATGCGATATCGTAAAAGTTCCTGTGCATGCATGAGCCGATCGCTGCAAAACCCAATATCTTGGATATCCCAAGATCCCCACGAACTCATTCCACCACCACCTTGGAAAAGAAACATGATCAGATCTAAATGTGAAGATATATGAGGCGCCCACTAAAGCCCTTGTAAATGCTTTGGGCTCCACTAAAGACATCGAAGTTGTCAAGGTCCTAGGCCAAGCTGCATTCCATCGTAAGAGGCCAATCAATCAGCAGCTAAGTTTCTCACACGTGTATGTACCTGGCACGCCGATTGCGCCACAAAGTCGCAGAGCTCCAGCCTGTGCACGCAGGTTTGATAAACAAGTAGAGTCAAGTACGGAAGAGGGGAGGTCTTGACTGAGAATCTGGCATGACCAACGGCATTCCCAAATACAAGGCCATACTGGCCATGCATGAGGTTAAGCTCAAAGGAGATTTTCGCCAGTCAGGCATTCTTCCAGACCCTGAGAATGAAGATCGAGCCAGTGCCTGCTGTCTTAATATGGGATCGAAGGGTTGGCCTGCCAAAACCAGACAAGTTGTTGATGGATCCAAAATCTCAGATCAAATGCGAATTGCAAAGATGCTAGCTTTTCTTCCCCCAGTGAATCTGTTTGGATCGAGATCAATTTCTCGGTCAGTCAGAAACATACCCAAATGAACCCAGCCATGGATCTCTTGTCCATGGACCGATGATTGAAACGCAACGCCATGCCTGGGGCCTATGAACGCAAATCTGCTGCAAGGTCAGTCTCTGGTTTAAACAAGACTACAATACCCCTGTTTTGTAAGGCTCCGCCCCAGCCATGCATGCCCCAAAAACGGTTCCAAGTCAACTAACTATAGGATCGGATCAGGCACGGGCGGGAGATCAGTCCAGTTGGCCAGGATGCGGGCCAGCTTCCACCTGAGCATCGGAGCTGGTTCATGCTGTAAGTTGTAGGTCTTGCGCATGTGCATGCCCCATACTAGCTCAGATCTTGGCGCTTCATTGAGACCACCGTGCCGGGACCACGTGAGTGTCACACCACCTTTTGAATTCTCCTGGATCAAACTCGATCGACAATGTTAAAAAATCTATGGTGGCCTCTCAACAATCCTGAAGGTTCTTGTTCATTGTGCGATTCACAGTCTTGACCACATCATGATCCACCCCTCTGAGATAGAAGCTGCCAGTGAGCCTTACACCAATCATCTCCATGCATGGATCGACCTAAACCTTCATTCCACCAAGCCTCAATAATAAGGATCCGGCAAAGTGGAAATGGGCAAAAGGTTGGTCCTGCCCTTTGCAACATTCTCCGGAGCTTTGTGTGTCCACGACCTGTTAGTCAACACCGGTTCGGGCCAACAACCCAACTCAGTTCCAAGTGCCTGACATTACATGTGCCAGCTTTGTTTCCTCTGGCAGTTCATAGCAAGAATACGGCACCTTTGCAAGGTCGCGGAGCGCTTGGACACGGTTGCCTCTCACCTCCTGGAGAAGGCAAGGGGTCCGGCGAATCTAGCGCGAATGTAGACTTCTTCCTGTGAACCCAAATGTACAGAACAATTTGTGATCGTGCTTTGGTTCAAGTAGATATTTTTATGTCCCCTCAACGTCAATGTTTAAACCCTGCCTTCGGGATCCGTTCCTCCGCGGGGGTCTTCCGTTTGCCATCACTTCCCAGCTCCTGGCCAGTATCACTGAGACAGGTCACAAGACACAAATAGAAGGGGACTGCTACTAGCAGACACGCAGGAGATTTGTGCTAGATCTTCAAGCTAAAATTGTTCTATATCGATCGGGTGCGTGTCGTCAGTCTAACATAAATATATGCGCCTCCTCAGCTTTGCTTCCAGGTTTGTCTTCCTCTTTGGTCTTTTTCTTCTTGTCCTTCTCAGCCTCCTCAACTTCATTGCCTGCTGAGCACTCTTTTGCGGCGGCAGCTTTTGCTTTTGCTTTTGCTTTTGCCCGGCGCTTTGGACGCGGTGGCCTCTCTGCATCACTTGCGTCATGTTCATCCCGCTCACGTTTCAGTTTTTCATCCTCTGCATCCAATTCTTTGGCCATTTTCATCTCCTCGTCCTCGTCCTCCAACTCTCTTTCCGCTTCATCACCTCCTGGCTCTTTCTGCTCATTCTCCACTTCTGGCCGGTTCTTGCGAGGTCTGCCAGGTTTCCTTTTCTTCTTTTGCTCGTTTTCCTTTGCTTCTTCGATGGCCCTTTTCCGTAGCAATCTTTGGTCCTGCCAAGCACGAGTTTCATTCTATGGGTCCTAGAAATTATACTTGGTTGCCACCCGGCCTCCAGAATCTTTTTGATGTTCTCCGCATCTTCGGGAGGATGCAAGTCCAGCAGAGTCATGACCTGCTGCACCAATGGGCGGGTGTCCTGAAGACAAACTTGATGCGAATTGAAAACTTCTTGCTCCATCACTCCGGCAGTTGCATGTTAAATTAGCCATGCATGCAACTAGCGCTATAAACTTGTTTGTTCACGTGTCAGTCCTTGAATGTGCCTTTGTTGTCTCGATTGTCTTGCTTTCCTGGGTCACTCTGAGCGTCAGGTTCTTCAACCTCCACGCCAAAGGATTGCATAATATGAGTTGCAAACTCGAGCCTGAAGTCAATATCCGGGTCTG